TTGAACCCTCACCAGTTCATACCAGTTCATTCACACCGTGCTTCCAGGTGACTGTTGCCAAATCGCGGCAAGTATTGTTACAGCCTCTACATCAGAGCGAAAAGATGCGTCCAACCCACGTAGCTCTCACGTGAATGCACACAGCAAGAACCCATTCCGCAGCTGGAAACAAAGACATACCAAACTGGAAGTCACGCATTGTAACATGAAAGTAAACGTAGAAGTACTCCTTGCCTTCTGCACAAATTGCGGACTCCCCATCCTCGGCAAGGAGCTACCGGTCACAAAAATGCTGTGAACCAAGGTTCCCACCTGCACGACAGTCATGTTGCTGTCAGAGGCAGACCTCAGCTCACTTACCAAAGTATCCAAATTCCCGTTTTAATGCAAGGAATCGAACAGCTGAAATCCCAAGTCCTCTCAGCTGGCCTCCGGGACGCTGCGCCTTCGCTCCAAGCGCCTGGAGAAAGCTAAATCACTAGCGGATTGATTCAGTTATGTTTTTTTTGCAGAGCCAGGAGAGTAAATCATGTAACTCATGTGCAAAAGGCTTCAGATGTAGCATTGACAACTACAAAGCTACAGTCCAAAAAGGCGAATGCGCCTGTGCTGTAGCCTCTCTCTGCACTCGCTCCAAGAACAATGCGCTGCAGTGGATTGTGGCGAGGAAGATGATGTTCTGAGACAGAAAGAAGCAACACGCGCTGAATGCAGTCGGACCCCTCCCCCAAACAATGTAGCCAAAAACGAGAACTAAAATGCCAATTGTGAATTGCACGCTGTGCACTTGGGTTGGCATAGACATCACATGACATGTCTGTGTCGATCTTTGGATCAAGGGTGGGTCGAAAGGCCTTAACGGCTGCGCTGTGGCGCTGTAAAAGGCGCTGTGCTCATTTGTGGTCTTAGGACTTTGTGTGCCTGGGACTTGGAGCTGCATTACCACTTGCTGGCTTCGCATTGGTAGCGGAGCCGGATCCCATTTGGGTGAAGGCTCGAGCTCTACTGGATCCTCCTGCCAGTGCGCTACTACACCTTCGGCACGACGAGCACTACGGCTTTCGCACTGACATCAAGGAGATCCACGAATTCGACATTGTGATCCTCCATGGCTTCCTCTACGGCAAATGGACCAACGGCCTTGGACAACACGTCCACCAAGGATAGCTTCATCCCCCTGTTTTCAGGTCAGCCTTCGGAGTACAAGGAGTGGCGAAAGCGTATCACGATCTACCACCACAAGATGGCCATCAGCAAGCGATCGGCAGAGAGCATCCTGAACATCATTGGTTCCATGCAGGGCACGGCTTGGAGGCTGTTGGAAGATTTTCCATTGGAGAATGTGGAGAAGGACGGCACGTTCGAGGAGATCTTGAAGATCATGGATCGCAGTTTCCAGTATGATGAGCGAGTTCAACTACCAGCTGACTTCGACTCCTACTACAACCTGCAGAGAAAGGCTGGACAGACGCTGCTAGGCTATGTGTCTGAGCACGATGAAGCCCTGAAGAAGATCGAGAAGCACAAGGTCATTCTTCCAACTGAAGTGCAAGGATGGCATTTGCTGACCAAGTCAAGTCTTTCGAGGGAGCAACGACAACTTGTGACGTTGAGGGCCCCGAGACTTGAGAAGGAGAAGGTTCAGGAGGCAATGTTCCTGATTCTTGGGCAGGACAAGCATGCTGCAGCAGATGGGCGACGGAACTACTTCCATCGTGGCAAAGGTTCCAACCGAGCTTTTGCAGCCCATGATGAGGTTGATGACGACTTTGGCTTCCACGAGGACTATGACGACGAGTCCGTCTACTACCAGGAAGAAGCGTGGGACCTCATGGAGCCGGAGCTGGACGATGCGGACTTCGACTGGGATGCTGGGTACTACCAGTATGATGGAGAGGATGGTTCTCCACAGTCACCGCACTCAGCCCAGTCCGTGATTCCCATGAAGACTATGATGTAGAGGCCTATGATGCTGTGTATGCGGCATACCAAGATGCCAGGATGACGGACTTGAAGTTGAGCTGTGGCTACTTGCCGGCGGTTGCCCTGACAGACCCTGCTGCTGGAAATGTGTCCCCTGGAATGGCTCAAGCACCAGCGAGTCCAAAGGGGAGGAAAGGCAAGGGCATTGGTGGCAAGAAGGGCAAGTCCAAGTCCACTGCAACCTTCAAGTATGCCAAGCCTGCGGCAAAAGGTGTGGACCCAGAAGGAAGAGCCAAAGCAGCCATCATCTGCCTTCGATGTGGACAACCAGGTCACATGGCAGCAACATGCAGTGCCCCGCGACAAGGTCAGAAGAGATCGGCACCAACTGAGTCGGTCGCCAGATGTGAGGAGGATGAGAAGGCCATGGTCCTCTTCCTCGACCGCGATGGCACTGAGAGGCCAGATTGCTGCACGCTATGGACCGCTGAAGCGCTATGTGGAGCACTTGGGCTCCCCATCCAGAACCTGGAGTTCCACAAGGTCCAGAGGAAGTTCCACTTCGGCGGTGATGCTGAAAGGTTCTCGAACTGGTCAGTTCGGCTGACTTCAAGGAGAAGAGGATCAAGATGGACAACACCCCATAAATGGAAGCAACACTCGGCCTACATGGTGAATACCTGCTGCCCATGGCCGAGGACTTCGACCCTGCGCTACTCCAACGAGATCCCATGTTCGACCTTCGAGTTGATCCCGAAGAAGAAGTTGGCCAAGAAGTTCATTCCTTGGAACGCTTCGACGCTGAGGAGCACATCTTCTTCGAGGAGGACTCTCCGGTTGTGGAGACCAAGGAGGAGTTGCAGACATGGGAGAAGAAAATCAAGAAGAACCACTTCAACACCATGGAGCTAGAGATCCAAAACCTCGACAAGGAGTACAACGCCTATGTCACCCGCGAGCTCCACGGTCCAAAGCACAAGGTGATCTGGGAAGTGTACTGTGGAAGGGCCAAAGTTTCCAAGATCGCAGAAGCTATAAGACTCCAGACTGAAGAGTTCGGCTTCCAGACTGGCTGGAACTTTGACAAGCTGGAGCACCAGCAGATGTTTTCAACGACTTGCGGAGGAACATCCAGATGAAGTGCTGCTAGCCCCAGAATGCGGCCCTTGGAACAACATGCAGAACCTCTCGGCACAAGATGATCGACGTCAACGACAACTTCGTGAACTTCGAGATTGGCACCATCGAGTACATCTTCAGTTCTGCCGACAGGTCTACATGCAGCAGATCTCCCAAGGAGGCCATGCAACTCTGGAGCAACCAGCTGGCGCGAAGTCTAAACCAAAGCATTTCATGATCTTCCTGGTCACCACTCCACCTTCGACCAGTGTCAGTATGTATGTGTGCGCTTGGCCAACACTGGCGAATGGTTGCCGGTGAAAAAGACGACGGCAGTCAGGACCTCCAAGTCAGCAGTTGCCGCGGCTTTGAATCTTCGATGCCCTGGCAACCATGAGCATTGCCAGTTGGAAAGTTCGGCACCTGGCTTTGGTCGACGCGCTGAGTACTTGGCGGACTACCAGCCTGCATTCGCCACAGTTCTCGCTGCAGCTTTGGCCACTGAGGAAACGCCCCAGCAGCATGACGTGATTGCAGCAGTTGGCGATGACAAGGCGCACACAGGAGGCCTGATCAAGCTTCTCACGGAGAACAAGCAAGAGGCAGTGAGAGTTGTTCAACGACTTCATCGCAACCTTGGGCACCCGAGCCCTGAGGCTCTCTGCGAGTTGCTGATGAGCAGAGGTGTCAGTGAGACGGCGCTGAAGGTGGCGAGGGAGTACAAGTGCTTTGCCTGCTTGCGGTACAAGAAACCCAACACCCCATCGCCATCGACCTTGCACCCAACCACCAAGTTCAATGAGATCGCGCAGGCGGACGTCTTCTGGCTGAAGCTTCAGGACAAGCGCATTCCGGTGCTTAGCATGGTGGATCTAGCCACGAAGTACCAGGCGGCTGCAGTGATCTATGGCGAGAAGAGCGACGACTTCATCCATGCCTTGGAGCGGGCGTGGATCCGACACTTCGGAGTTCCGCGAGAACTTCACACCGATGAAGGTCGTGGATGGGCATCCGGAAAGATGGACGAGTGGACCACCAACCTGAACATAAAGCATGTGGTGGCACCGGGAGAGGCACACTTGTTGAACGACGGCACGCTGTCTTGCGCAAGGCCATTGAGATCTACCTCTCCGACCTCCAGCTGGACACCGTGGACGGCATCAGACAGGCGCTCTCCTATGTGGTCCCGCAGGTCAATGGTGCATCCCAATGGGTGCTCGGATTCCAACCTTCGCTTCCGGGAGAACTTGCAGGTGATGATCTGAATCCAGCACACCTGAGTCCATCAGATCGCTTCGAAGACATCCTGCAGAAGCGTGCTCATGCGAGAAATGCCCTGACCACTGCGATCTGACCGCAAGCTTCGTCGAGCATTGCTTCGGAAGCAAGAAGGAACCAATGTGCCTTTGGAGGTTTTTGCTTCGTGTTTCTTTTGGCGCGATGCCAAACAAGGCGACCTTGTGAAAATCAGGTGGTTGGGACCTGCTCGTGTGGTGGCTCGAGAAGATTCTGAAGTTGGCACACCGCAGACATACTGGGTGGCATTCAAGACACAGCTGATCAGATGCGCACCACACCATGTTCGAGCTGACTTCCGGTCCACCGACACCGCCATCGGCAATCTGCGAGAAGCACAGAAGAATGTGCAGAGGCTGAAGTCCAGAGGAGTGACCCGCTACATCGACCTCAACGTGGCCAACAAGCGGCGCTTGGAGGATGTAGATGAAGATGAGGAGTTGGAAGACTTAGCTGCAGAGGACTTTGAGGATGTTGAACCACCAAGGAGAAGGCCCCGGTTCACCTTGTCCGACGATGGCATGGAGGCTACGCCACCAACACCACAGGACATCCTCGAGGAGTTCGAGGTGAGCATGCCGGCCTCCCCAGCATTCAGTTATGCACCAACAACACCAGATGCGAGGTCACCACAAGCGAGTGAAGTTCCATCTGATGGCGAAGGAGACAGAGACCAAGCTCAACGTCCACCAGTGTCGCCACCAAGGACTCCACCTGGACCACCACCTGGCTTTGAAGCCGATGATCGACAACTACCACCAGTCCCTGAAGGAGATGAAACGCCCATGGCTAAGAACGAGGAGATGGATGACCCAGAACCCGGATCAGAACCAGGCCCGGCATCTCCGAGATCAAGAACATCACCGAGATCGAGAACTTCAACTTCCGCAGCACCTCCAACATTGGATCCTGCAACGGCGGCACTATACCAACCAGCTGCTGAAGGTGAAGACTTCTTGACAACGCGACGACGCATTGATCGGCAAGAGACTCTCTCCTTTGGTCCTTCCAGGCGAAATCCGAGATCAAGTTCCGCGAGTACATCCCCCTATGACCGAGAGACTTTGCCACCATCCACTGATGCTGAAGACATCTCAGGCGCGGCTTTCTACATCAACGGTGTGGATTGTGCTGAACTACCACCAGGATGGATCATGGACGAGGAGGGCTACTTCCAGATGTCCGAGAAGATGCACGACTTCTGGGAGGTCAAAGCTGGATGCCTGATTCGGCATCATGTCAAGCCAAGGCGAGGGCTGTTCTCAGTGAGCGAATGCACGGATCTTCCCATTGATCCCCAGGTGCTCGATCCAATCCGGATCACTCTGAAGTATGGTCCGGACGGCACCATCGAGACCATCAAGGACAATGGCACTGAGAACCACTTCGCAAAGAAGGCATGGCTTGGGCTCACGATCTGCGAGAAAGGAGATGGGCATGTATGCCAATGCACCAGCAGCTAGAGTTGCTAAGGACCAGAAGAAGCAGGCGCTGAAGTTCCAGAAGAAGGATGATAAGAACGACCTCTCCGAGCGCAAGATGACTGTTCATGAACGAGCACTGCTCAAGGAGGCCAAGATGAAGGAGTTGCAAAGCTTCTTTGAGAATGGTGTCTGGGAGTTTCAAACCACCGCTGAGGCCACCACCGAAAGGACTTTGACATCAAGGATGATTCTTAAATGGTCCAAGAACAGTGATGGCAGTCCTCGTGCAAAGGCGAGGTTGGTGGTTCGTGGTTACTCCGACATCGATGCGCTGGAGGGCAACCTGGAGACATCCTCGCCAACTACCAGCCGGCTTTGGGCTGGACAGCTTGGACAGCTGATGTGGCAACTGCGTTCTTGCAGGGCTTGCCGCAAGACCGCAAATTGTGGGTGAAACTTCCTGCTGAAGCTTTGGAAATGTTGGGGGCACCACCTGAAACCAGGATGCTGCTGAGAAAGCCCGTGTACGGGCAGTTGGATGCTCCGAGACGATGGTACTTGGAGGCGGTTCGGAGACTCAAGGACATTGGGCTACGACAACATTGCCTTGACCCCTGTGCATTCCTGATGTATGAGGAGGACTTTGCCATCGGTCGACAACATCCTTCAACTAGCGGTGCGCTAGGAGAACGTCGTCTGTGTGGCGTCATCTGCCTCCATGTGGATGACATGCTTGGATCAGGCAATGCCCAGTCGGCCACCTATCAGCAGATCTCCAACCAGCTCAAGCAGGAGTTCAACTTCCGCGAGTGGCAGGAGAAGGAGGACCTGGAGTACTGCGGTGCATCGATCAAGGTCACCACGGATGAGATCACGCTGGACCACCAGAAGTACATGCACAAGGTGAAGCCCATGACGGTTGAGAAAGGTCAATCGCCCGAGGACGAGATGGATCAGAAGGGCATCACCCAGCTTCGAGGCTTGGTCGGAAGTCTGCAGTGGCCAGCAGTTCAATCGTCACCACACCTTCAATGCAGTGTGAGCATGCTGTCTGCGAATGTGACGAAGGGGCTGACCAAAAGTGCGATCGATGCCAATAAGTTGCTGAAGTTTGGAAAGGAAAACAGTGATGTTGCCTTGAAGTATGGCCCCATCGGAGCTGTAGAAGATCTTCGGCTGGTCATGATGTTCGATGCATCGTTCTGTTCAAGATCGGATGGCAGTTCCCAAGGAGGCTATATCCTGATGCTCGTTCACCAACAAGCCTTGGGTCCCCGTATCATGTGTGGGACTGGAAATCCTTCAAGTTGCGAAGAGTTGCGAGATCTTCGCTGGCCGCGGAAGCTGAAGCGGCAGGAGAGGCAGTGGATGCTCTTGAGATGGCTTGCCGCTACTGGGAGCATTTGATTCACCCGGAGCTGCAACTGGCAGAGCTCATTGGTTTGAAGAGCTCACTGCATCCAGTCATGGTGACGGACGCCAAAGCTCTCTACGACAGCTTCCACCGCGACACCATCAACAATGCTGCTGTGGACAAGCGCACCAGTTTGGAAGTGCGAGTGACCAAGGAGCAGCTGACGGCTTTGGGCGGCAACTTTCGTTGGGTGAGCTCAGAGCGACAATTCGCCGATGGACTCACCAAGGAGTCAGCGAGGCAGCTTCTGGCGGACAGGTTGCGCTATGGCAAGATCAAATTGGTTTGGGATCCAACCTACACCGCGGCCAAGCGTAAGACCGTGGAGGAGCGAAATCGCAACATGGAAGAGCATGCTGTGACGAGGCACGAGCACGAGGAGATCCCCACTGAAGAGATCAACGTGGTGCGATCCAACGAGGTGATCAAGTATGTGGACATTGCTCAGAATGTCAAGGTGTCTGAGAATGTCATCGCCCGGCCGAGCCATGTCGGCCATCCAAATTTCCTGGACTACCTCAACGGCTTCCACAATTTCACGCACTACCTCAACGGCTTCAACTACTTCCTGCACTACCACTTCGGCATGGTCATTTTGCTGCTGAGCCTGCTGGCTCTGGAATGGATGCCTGGTGCTGAGGCATCATTGTTGGAGGACAACCAATGTCCCTTGGAAGAACCACCCTTGGAAGACATGATGTCTTCATGGGAGATTTTTGACTTCGTGGCCATCGAAGGCTTCATGCTCTGGAATGCTTTGATCATCGCCGTGAGCTACAAGTTTGGGCAGCGCGATAACATCAAGAAGGGTGAGGAGGCTGCAGAGATGGCAGAGATCCTACACAAGCAAGTTGAGGAATCCCTGCAGGACCAACACTTGAAGATGCAGAAGTGTGCTAAGGAGAAGCACGACGCAGCCCATCAATACATGAGAGCACTGTCCTTGGCCACCGGTGAGGCAGAAAGTTTGGGAGAGCTAGTGTTGGAGGCCGTGAAGATTTGCCATCGAGCTCAACGTGAACTCGAACAGCTGTCGGCCTTCCATCCTATGTACAAGCGGCTGTGGATCGCAAAGCATGGTACAGTGTGGCACCAAGTTGAAGATTGCCACCATTTGCAGAACTGCTCTGCATCCAACGTGGTCGAGCGTGTTCCTTGCTCGACATGTGCCTGTGCTCCCCAGACTCCGTTCATTCGGAACCAGGATGGTGAAACGCTGCTGGATGAGCTTGGAAGCTTCGTCCGGCTGGTGCTGGAGCGAGATGATCACCCATCCTGATGCCTTGCCAATTTCTTTTTATCATTTTGTGCTTTCACCCATGTGAATTGCACGCTGTGCGCTTGGGTTGGCATAGACATCACATGACATGTCTGTGTCGATCTTTGGATCAAGGGTGGGTCGAAAGGCCTTAACGGCTGCGCTGTGGCGCTGTAAAAGGCGCTGTGCTCATTTGTGGTCTTAGGACTTTGTGTGCCTGGGACTTGGAGCTGCATTACCACTTGCTAGCTTCGCACCAATTAAAATGAAAACTGTGACAAAACAGGGTCATCAACTAGCCAACAGCCTCGTTTTGGGATTCCAATTTGTTCACAATGGTTCCATCAAGTTAGGCTTACCTAGATTATGGTTCATAGCCAGGTATTTACACTGTTCATTGATGCTCGGACATCATCACTTGCGTTTGCTTCTCAAGCAAATATCCTTCGAATCTTCCAGGTTGAGAGAGTCCATGCTTGTTGCCGTCCTTGCAACCGTCCTATAAACATCTCTTGATGGAACCGTGTGAAATCTCTTGAAAAGTGCATCTTGTCATTCACCCACCAGCGTTCGGCATGCCTTGGTCTCGGATGTATCCCGCAGCAAGTCCGAGAAGAATCACCTTTACTGAACCAAGAAGCTATAGGTGCTTCACACAGGATGAAGCAAAGATCACTAAGCCACACACAACCATCCATAAGGCAAGAGAGCCGTGGTAGTCCTCGGCTAACAGCAGCTCAGCTCAAACTGCAGTGATTTCATGCTGGCTTAAAGATGTTAAGATAGGCCGGTTAATGGAAATCAAAAAGATATGCCCTTCAAAAGCAGGCTTGAAAGATCTTATCAGCAAAGAAGTAAGCACCTGTAGCTGACATGAGGGCGAAGTCTCTGGAACCTTTTGCACAAGTTGACCAGTTCAATGCCACTTTGTCCAGTGATTCTGCGCATGCCCTTCTCTGGTAACAACAGATCTGGCCTCAACTGTGACGTCTTCCACCTAAAACAAGGGAGCTGAAGCAAGGAAAGAAAGCAGAGCAAATGGAAGCTGTAAATGCATCCACTCATGTTGGCTAGTCCCAGCACCTCTTGGATTGCTTCATCTTTTGCAAGTCGTTCCACCTTGAACTCTTGATTTCTTTGGATATCCATGTTGCCTTGAACTGATGACAACTTTGCACGTGACTTCAGACAAATGCAAGAAAACGCTGCCACAATCTTACTTGCTGAGCACCCGTACCTGCTGACATGAGGGCGAAGTCTCTGGAACCTTTTGCACAAGTTGACCAGTTCAATGCCACTTTGTCCAGTGATTCTGCGCATGCCCTTCTCTGGTAACAACAGATCTGGCCTCAACTGTGACGTCTTCCACCTAAAACAAGGGAGCTGAAGCAAGGAAAGAAAGCAGAGCAAATGGAAGCTGTAAATGCATCCACTCGTGTTGGCTAGTCCCAGCACCTCTTGGATTGCTTCATCTTTTGCAAGTCGTTCCACCTTGAAGTCTTGATTTCTTTGGATCTCCATGTTGCTTTGAACTGATGACAACTTTGCACGTGACTTCAGACAAATGCAAGAAAACGCTGCCACAATCTTACTTGCTAAGCACCCGTACCTGCTGACATGAGGGCGAAGTCTCTGGAACCTTTTGCACAAGTTGACCAGTTCAATGCCGCTTTGTCCAGTGATTCTGCGCATGCCCTTCTCTGGTAACAACAGATCTGGCCTCAACTGTGACGTCTTCCACCTAAAACAAGGGAGCTGAAGCAAGGAAAGAAAGCAGAACAAATGGAAGCTGTAAATGCATCCACTCATGTTGGCTAGTCCCAGCACCTCTTGGATTGCTTCATCTTTTGCAAGTCGTTCCACCTTGAAGTCTTGATTTCTTTGGATATCCATGTTGCTTTGAACTGATGACAACTTTGCACGTGACTTCAGACAAATGCAAGAAAACGCTGCCACAATCTTACTTGCTGAGCACCCGTACCTGCTGACATGAGGGCGAAGTCTCTGGAACCTTTTGCACAAGTTGACCAGTTCAATGCCACTTTGTCCAGTGATTCTGCGCATGCCCTTCTCTGGTAACAACAGATCTGGCCTCAACTGTGACGTCTTCCACCTAAAACAAGGGAGCTGAAGCAAGGAAAGAAAGCAGAGCAAATGGAAGCTGTAAATGCATCCACTCGTGTTGGCTAGTCCCAGCACCTCTTGGATTGCTTCATCTTTTGCAAGTCGTTCCACCTTGAAGTCTTGATTTCTTTGGATCTCCATGTTGCTTTGAACTGATGACAACTTTGCACGTGACTTCAGACAAATGCAAGAAAACGCTGCCACGATCTTACTTGCTGAGCACCCGTACCTGCTGACATGAGGGCGAAGTCTCTGGAACCTTTTGCACAAGTTGACCAGTTCAATGCCACTTTGTCCAGTGATTCTGCGCATGCCCTTCTCTGGTAACAACAGATCTGGCCTCAACTGTGACGTCTTCCACCTAAAACATGGGAGCTGAAGCAAGGAAAGAAAGCAGAGCAAATGGAAGCTGTACATGCATCCACTCATGTTGGCTAGTCCCAGCACCTCTTGGATTGCTTCATCTTTTGCAAGTCGTTCCACCTTGAAGTCTTGATTTCTTTGGATATCCATGTTGCTTTGAACTGATGACAACTTTGCACGTGACTTCAGACAAATGCAAGAAAACGCTGCCACAATCTTACTTGCTGAGCACCCGTACCTGCTGACATGAGGGCGAAGTCTCTGGAACCTTTTGCACAACCAGTTAAGAGGCATCTATCATCAATGCCTTTCTGACGATGCGCTTGCTATCCTGATCTTCCAATTGATTTGTCTTTTCATGCCTCTTTGCCAGCCAGGGTGAGACTCCTCTGACCTTGCACCAAGCGGACCATGTGGAGTTGAAGCAATGGGCAATAAGTGATGCATGTTGGGCTACAGGAAGCGGATTGCAGGTCAATGCAGGGCTCACAGAAAAGACACTCATTGACAGTGTTCAAACAATCTCTCAGGCTGACACACCCACAGCAGGCGGCAAACCAAATGCAACATTTGCCATTCCCAGCGAAGCTATGTATTGTACTTCCGCATCCCGAGGATAGTCTTGGATGACTTGGCATAGAATATGGGAGACTTCGGGATGCGCAACTGCTACGCCTTGCAACATTGCAACTCCCAAGGCGATCCATTTGCGTGCTTCAGCATCTCGATGATGAGCATGGTAAGTATGGAGCATCATCTGCAAGACGTCAGCCGTTCCAGAGGCGTGAGCAATAGAAATCCTCGTAAAGCAGCGGGCGCTGGCAGCCTGCACCTTTGCATCATATGAATGGTTTCTCATGGCCTGGACAGGGTTCAAAGCACATGCAACATGTTGCTTTCCAAAGGAACACGTTGCATCACGTTGTATCGTATTGATTGAGCATGGATGAGAGCAACAACAGCGTGATAAACACAAAAAACCTGACTCTGTCGCTTAGACCAAGGCCTGGACTACAACTTGCAAAGCACCAGCATCCACAGCGTTCCTCTGCCGCTCGAGTGCATCTGAGTCCCACCCTGCACAAATGGCGCCTAGTGCAACAGCTGCATGAGTCTGCACGTGAGTGCGTGTGGGGTGCTTTTGCATAGCACAAACCAAGGCATGCAAAACACAGGTAGTTGGATAGTCGACAATGAGGGGACCAGTGATATCCGCAGAAAATACCTCTGCCAACCACCACGAGCTCCAATGTTGCACATCGACATCGGCAGGGGCAGAATTCATGGTTTCCACGAGGCTGCGCAAAGCACCTGGAACATCTTTGAGACACATCTTGGCCACAAATGTCACCCTGAAATCTTTGCGAGGGCTCTTCAATGCGCGTAACATGACCTGGACGATCTCACCCGCATGCTTGCGGCATTCCTGCGCTCTGAATCTAACAATACTGCCAAGCGCAAGAGTGCAATTGTATAGCACGTCGAAGTCTTCGGCTTCCACAAGGGCATCCACGGCACCATGACCCAATGCCAACTTGGTTGTTTTGTTGGCTACCTTGGGCGGTAGTGGCTTGGAAGTTGGACCACGACAGTTTGCACGAAGACCAATTGCTGCAGCATTTTGCACTTCATTGTCATTGGCGTGCAAGCGCATTGCTTGGACAAAAGCCTCACAAACACCAGCGTCCGCAGCAGCCTCATGACACTCCGGTTTGTGGAGTCTTGCCAGACACATGCCACCTAGAATCTGCAACTCAACATCTTGGGGATCCCGTTTCAGGGTCTGAATAAAGCTCCACAAAGCTATTGGGAGGCTCTCAAAACAGCGGGCAACCCATTCTTGCATGGAGGGGACATGACTATGGTAGCGCAAAGCATGAAGCAACGCCTCAAAAGCCCCTGCATCCATTGCTCGGCCTTTGCACTCCAAATCAGCACCACTGCAAACAGCAGCGAAGCTGATCACGCCGAATAGCTGCTTTTCAGCATCTTCTGGGTGGTTTTGCATGGCCTGCGCCAAAGCATGTAAAGATTGGCTGCCATGGAGCGATGGAAGATGTGGCTGCAAAGCAAGCTGGGCTGTCGTAGGTGGTGGCCGTGGCTGCATGGTCTGCTACTGCTCTACACTGTGTGAGCCGTGACGATCTGCAGTGGACCCACCTTGCTAATGTTTTTCATAAGTCTGCCACTTGAAAGCCTCAAATCCAATGCCGGATCAGAATGAACCCGCAGAACAATCGAGCAACAATCCCATGCAGAAAGCACCGCGCATCTTTTGTTCAGCAGCGCTGTGTCACAAGCAATGGCCTGGATCGGAGTGGAGTTTTAACGAGTTACAAAATCAACAACGTCAGTATGATTTAGCGATTTACAAGAGACTTAGATCTTTACTCCAGCCATTTCCCTTTTTGGGTTCCGACCAGAAGTAGTAAAACAGCATTGTCAAAGCCAGCTTCAAGAAACATAAACTATGTCTTTCAAGAAGATATGCCAGAAGGCAACAAATTGTCCAAATATGCATTGCTAAGATGTTGTTCTCCAAGCAGCGTCCACCAGCAAGTCCATGGTAACCATTTCGAGACCCGTAGCTATGCAAAGAAATTTTGATCATCTCTGAATTACACCTGCCTACGAATCAGGCAAGACCGGGTCTACTTTTGGTTTTCAAGACATGTACCTGGAGAAACTCATTGCCGCACAAATGTGCAAAGAAAACCAACGAAGTAATGTTTCTTACGTTTGGAAATGAATGATGAAGCCAAACAAAATTGTACTAGTTTGCTTTCAAAATGAAAAATAGTGGGCTTTTGCCCGCTCTTCATGCTAAGTGAACATGCCATCATGTCTATCCAACATCTGCGGAACCTTGCCTCGAATCAGGAAAAGTAACGCGGCGAGCTCTCATTTGCACAGCCCTTGCGATTCAGATACGTTCGCAGCGCAGTGAACAATGCAGTCAAATCAGCCGAATGAGAGTTTCAACATTTTGTCTTACTTAAACCCTGTTGCGCCAAATTGTGAATGCGACATTGTGGCAAACGAGTTCAAGAGACATGCAACTCATGACATGCATGTAAACTGGTTGAAAAAAACGCGTCGCAAAGCATGATAAAGAATTTTTCCCCCGAATGCAACGCTCGAAGTGAAACTGCTGCGCTCTTCTTTTTCGACTGCGGGGGCAAGGTTGGTCACGTGCTTAGACGAGAAATACAATGTAAAAACGAAAGGGTGGGAGACGAAGTAAGGAGGGCTAGAGATTGATACGTTGATTGCAATTGCATTTTTGTGCCCTCCACTACCCAATCCTTGATTTGATGAAGCGTCAGTGGAACATAAATTCATCTGTGTTCTCCAGAGGTGGTTTGATTTCCAGTGTTGCGAGAACGGGTTTCTTTTCAACATTTTCAAAGGTGGAAGTTGCAAATTTTTGAAAGTTTGATTGAGGAAAAGCGAAAAAATACGTAACCTCTCTTTCTTTTTGCTTGGTTAGGCGGAACTCGTTTCATAGTATTGCGCCGGGTTAGAAAGACTAGGCTGTCATTTCATGAAAGCCAGCGTCTTACTTAAACCCTGTTCCGCCAAATTGCGAATGCGACATTGTGGCAAACGAGTTCAAGAGACATGCAACTCATGACATGCATGTAAACTGGTTCAAAAAAAACGCGTCGCAAAGCATGATAAACAATTTTTTTCCCCCAAATGCAACGCTCGAAGTGAAACTGCTGCGCTCTTCTTTTTCGACTGCGGGGGCAAGGTTGGTCACGTGCGTAGACGAGAAATACAATGTAAAAACGAAAGGGTGGGAGACGAAGTAAGGAGGGCTAGAGATTGATACGTTGATTGCAATTGCATTTTTGTGCCCTCCACTACCCAATCCTTGATTTGATGAAGCGTCAGTGGAACATAAATTCATCTGTGTTCTCCAGAGGTGGTTTGATTTCCAGTGTTGCGAGAACGGGTTTCTTTTCAACATTTTCAAAGGTGGAAGTTGCAAATTTTTGAAAGTTTGATTGAGGAAAAGCGAAAAAATACGTAACCTCTCTTTCTTTTTGCTTGGTTAGGCGGAACTCGTTTCATAGTATTGCGCCGGGTTAGAAAGACTAGGCTGTCATTTCATGAAAGCCAGCGTCTTACTTAAACCCTGTTCCGCCAAATTGCGAATGCGACATTGTGGCAAACGAGCTCAAGAGACATGCAACTCATGACATGCATGTAAACTGGTTGAAAAAAACGCGTCGCAAAGCATGATAAACAATGTTTTCCCCCAAATGCAACGCTCGAAGTGACTCTTTTTTTTCGACTGCGGGGGTGATATCGCGCGATTTGGTTTTCGAAATGACGCACTCACGACCGGGGGTGAATGGGTTCGAATGAAGAGAGTGACCCCCGTTGGTGAGTGCGCAATCACGCACCAGAGAGTACCTGCTTCGAATGAAGTCCACGGTCAACAGTGCGCCAAAGGATGGCATGTTTGTGCAGAGGTCAACTGCGCCAAGCCCCATCCTTTGCCACAACACCCAAAATGATCCAAGAGATCTTTCCTGTCTTTGGATAGCTATCCTGCCTGTTCAAAACAGTTTTCAGGACATCAGCTTATTCAAGACCTTTTTGCCATTGAGATTTTCTGCGGAACCGGCAGGTTGACTGCCTCCATGCGAGCCTTAGGGTTGAATGACAGCTTCGGGGTGGATTCTAAGCTACCTCAGAGCTTGAAGTGTCCCGTTTTGCAGCTCGATCTCACCAAGCCAGATCATTTCCAATTAGTCCACGAATATGTACAGAATCCAGCTTGTTGCTATTGCCATTTTGCACCGCCCTGCGGTACGGCCAGCCGTGCTCGCCTCATACAGAGAAGGAACCAAAGAAATCCACCCATCGTCCGCACTGATCAACATCCAGACGGCCTGCCACATCTCGGCACCCTCGCCATGCGAGTCCAGTCAATCTTTCGTACCAACGAACCGCCGACCTCATTGCACTCTTGCATCAGCAGCAGAAATTTTGGAGCGTCGAAAATCCAGGCAGGTCCTTCGTGTGGCAAACCAAAGCCTTTCTTACTTTGAAGCGCCAAATTTCGTGGCACGAAGTCAGCTTCCATCACTGCATGTACGGAAGCGCCCGACGCAAACTCACCGAACTTTGGCATAACATTCCCAGATTTCAAGAGTTGCAGCTCCATTGTGATAAAACTCACAGTCACGAACCCTGGGGTCAACTTCAATCAGGTCAATGGGCCACATCGCAAGAGACTGCTTATCCTTGGCCTTTGGCTAAATTCATGGCGATGTTGATTGCCCTCCAGCTGCAAGATTGTGGCGTCGAAGTCGCGCCCCCTGCATTTGCCCAACAGGAACAATCCATTCATACGCTTCGTGCCGCAGCCACCTGCAGCCAATGGTTTCGGAATTCAAGACCATCCAAGAGTGGCCTTCCCAGGATCCTTTGCCTCCTCTCCCCAGAAAATTGAGCACTCTTTCCCCGGGGTGTATCGCGAGTGAGGGTTTCAATCTCAAAGAGACACTAGACGGCAAGTGTACCATAGGTATTCACAGGTCCCCTTCTGAATTCATCGAAGCAGCATTGGAAATTGGGCACCCCAGCCTGACCATCTCCAAGTTCCCGTCGGAGATTGCTGAAGTCGTGCAATACAATTCATCTATGAACAGTCGTGACTTGGCACAACACAGGACGGCTGAAATGAGGAGATGGGTAAGTTTGACTGAAGAGCTCAAGACGGAGGAAAAGAAGCTCAAAGAAAGTCTTGGCCAACGTAGATCGGAAATTTTGTATCGAAAAGAAGTTGCTGCTCTTTGAACGGTTACTGTCAGATTCAGGCCATGATGACGTTGGCCTGGTCAAGGACATAGCCAAGGGCTTCGACTTTACGGGCACGCTGCCTTCGTCCCACAGTTTCAAGCAGAAATTCAGGCCGGCAAGCATTTCATGTCCGGAGTTGAGGAGAGCATCGGACTTGGGGAGAGAAGCCTTACTCAAAACGATATCCAGCTCTGGCGACAAAGAGCTGGACCGACTTCTCTATGAAGCAACCTTGACAGAGAGAGAGAAGGGCTACCTATTGGGTCGCATTGACGTCAACGAGCTCTTTGAGGGGGCCACTCTCACCAAGAGATTTGCTGTGAGACAGAAGAATAAAGTGCGGCCCATAGATGACTATAAAGCCTCCATGGTGAACTCGTCAGTTGTTCAGAGTGAGGGCGTCACCGTCCATACCATAGACCACATCGCAGCAATGATATCTGTGTGGTTCCGACTTTCTGAAAGCAAAGCTGGCTCGAGCCTGGTAGCCAAGTGTTGGGACCTCAGTGACGCCTACAAACAAGTCCCGTTGTCAGATGAAGCCTTTGAGTTGGATTCTTATTTGGCAGTGTACGACCCCATTTCAAACGAGCCCCACCGCCTTTTTGAGGATCTCTTTGGGAATATGGAAGGTTGGAGCTCGCCTGCTCAAATTGATGTGGTCGTCTTATTTCGACGATTTTCTCTGCGTGTCCACCTCTGAGGCGTCCCGCCACACCGATATGTGTGTCTCCACGCTTTTCTCCATTTTAGGTTGGAAGGTGTCTGAACAGAAGCTGCTAGACTTCAGTTCCGTTTGCAAGGTCCTGGGGGTCACGCTCGATTTGACCCAATCGGGAGACAGGATGTGCTGGATAACCAACACGGAGGAGAGGAAGCAAGAGTTGGTGGAAGAGATCAGTGTGGTTCTGAAGCGTGGCTACATCAAGCCCAAGGATGTTGAAAGACTAAGAGGGCGACTACAATCTGTCAAATCTTCGGCAGGGCTTTCAGGAACTGCTTGAGAGCTGTG